TGTGTGTGTGTGTGTGTGTGTGTGTGTGTGTGTGTGTGTGTGTGTGTGTGTGTGTGTGTGTGTGTGTGTGTGTGTGTAACACCTGGTATAGTTGTGATTTGGTTTTGTTTTTTTGTTTTTTTTCTTCGCGCCATTATAGGTGCTGCCCTCTCTTGACAGGCGGGTGAAGCCTTTATGTGTGATATTTGTATTAAAACCCCTCAATGTACTGATTTATGATATTGTCAGGAGAACACGAGAAATATTACGTTTTATAACTGAAATTTTGTTGTCAAGTTTTTATTTACGCTTTATCAAAACTTTCATTAGAAAAGGTAATATGAAAAGTATTATGAATTATACTACGGCGATATCTTGAAATTTCTTTTTAAAGACTATGTTGATTTCAAAGTTACGTTTGTGCATTATTCAGAACAAAATAATGAATAGTTTAAGTTGGTATTTGTAATGCAAATAGAAGATATTCGTAATGAAATAAGTGATTTTCAATGTTGTTTGCACGCCGATGTTTTTCTTCCGTCAGTATTTTTATTTGACTAATTTCTTTATGCTAATGATGGAGGAAGATTATTGTCAAAGACGATATTTGATTTCATGTTTTTAAATTGGTGTGTTCTGATTTGTTACTGTTGGATCCGTTCAATATGTCCAATTAATGATCAATCCGAGGGAACCGAGTACTTTGTCTGGTGTGTTAAATACCACGAGCAAATCAGAGAAGGAACGCCAAAACACCGTAATAAATACTTTATAACACCAAGGGTATTACAATATATATATATATATATATATATATATATATATATATATATATATATATTTATATGTATATATATACACATAATGTGTATATTTGTGTATATGTATATATAGTATATATGTGCATGTATATATACATATACATACATACACTATACACACAGATGTATACTTACATATATATATATATATATATATATATATATATATATATATATATATATATATATTATAATATTGATATTGATATTCCTTCCTTCAATCACGGTGCAGATCCATACGAACCAGAGAGAAAATTCAAGTCTTTTCCTTTCCGTCGTCCTAAAATTTGCAAAGCTCTTGAGACGACTGCCCTTGCGTCGTATTGATGTTCTACAGCTTTAAGGAGGGGTTAATGTCGCCTCATCTGCAGACTGAATAAACATCCAAATCCCGTTTTGTGAAGTCCTACACTTGTTAGTCAGTCAGTTCTCATAGAATGAAGAGATGCAACACTCAAGCAACATTTAGTCTCGCCAAAAGGGAGGAAAAAGGGGCGTCAACATTCTTGAAAGACAATCAATTCCCAAAAATCTTGTTTCACCTAAACGTTGCAACAGACGTATTGCAAGAATATTGAGCTTGCTACCGCCTATGGTTACGCATCTACCACTTCCTTGTATCGTTCGTGTTAGCTTGAAGAGACAGTGTGCAAAATATTGATAGATGCACGCCCTTTCTTGTGTCGTCAGGTTAACTTGAAGAGACAGTTGAAAAGGTACCGTAAGACGTACGCCCTTCCACGCCCTTCCACGCCGACAGCCCGGAAAACACTTACAGGATGAGGAGCATGTGCGTCACACTGTACCGGATTTTTCACTATTTTTCCCTTTTTTGAAGTTTTGGACTGGTTTCCTGCTATGATGAGATTAGTAACGACTCGTTTCATAGAGTATGAGGGTGAAGCTTAAAGAAATCCATTGTGTAATTGTCCTTCTTGCGTATTTGATACATTTACTGGATATGTCAGTAATTTGACTCGGGATGATGCATTCGTATGACGTCATCTTCGACCATACCGTTACGAAAATAATCCGAGTTCGGTGAAGTAACGAAAATAAATGTAGACATTATGTCTCCAATGATAAAAGTCACGTAAGCAAATGAAAAGTAAATTCTTTTGAATTTGATAACTCCTTTGTAAATTGTTTGTTTGTTTTTGTTCATTGTTCTTAATGCGTACAGAGTGGGATGATTTTATCTATTTTATCTATCATATTCTCCTGAAATATTCGTGTACATGTATTTATGAGAGAAGAGGGGAAAGGGTGGTTTAACTGAAGACACAAATTGTGAATAGTTCTCTCTGTTGAATGGGGGGGGGGGATGTCGCCCGCCACTTCTTCCAGCCATATTGTAGGGTTAACTCAAAGTTGGCCGCTTGCTCCGTATACATAATTTCGTACGCGCTACAAGGCCTGTACTGCCCTTTCGCTCTTTTCACTGGCTGGCGACCTTTAAACATTTAAAGCCCCTAGGTTCGTTGGACTTTAAATGCTTCCTATGGAACAATTTTCCTTATTTTTTCAGGATGTGTATGAGAACATTTGTCTGATAACGTCCGTGTGTGTGTGTGTGTGTGTGTGTGTGTGTGTGTGTGTGTGTGTGTGTGTGTGTGTGTGTGTGTGTGTGTGTGTGTGTGTGTGTGTGTGTGTGTGTGGATGGGTGGGTGTGTGTGTGTGTGTGTGAGAGAGAGAGAGAGAGAGAGAGAGAGAGAGAGAGAGAGAGAGAGAGAGAGAGAGAGAGAGAGAGAGAGAGAGAGAGAGAGAGAGAGAGAGAGAGAAAGAGAGAGGGGGGGATGGGAGGAGAAATAAAAAAAAAAAAAAAAGGAAGTGAGAGAGGAGAGAGAAGAAAAGGAAGAGAGAGAGGAGCGGGAAGAGAAGGAAGAGAAGAGAACCTATGCATGAACTCAGACATACTGTATATATACACACCCGAGCAAGCACATGTGCTGGAGTTAGCGCCCGTCCACTTCCTCTTTCCTTTTCGTGTGCGTGTTTCGAGGTAGGCATCGAGTTCAGTGGACTGTCCCTTCCTCCTTAAAGTGAGTGTAAAGGTCGGTGTAACTGTTGAACTATTGGAGCTTTGAAGAGAATATCCCACCCCAGTCGCTATGTGCTGGCCCACTTGCCCCAGCTGTTTGGTAGCCTCCGATCTCTGGCAGCTCTCGGGTTTTGTGAGGTGGCGTTTGGAAAATGGTGTATTCAGCATGTATTATCTCTGGCTGGCTATCCTTGTTTTAATTGGGTTTACTCAACTTTTTTTTTTTTCTGGAAGTACTTGCACTAAATACAAATTGCTTTTTGTGTGCGTATTTTGTTTTCTTTCTTTCACTCTTACTCTCTCTTTTCTGTTAACTCACTCTCTCTCTCTCTCTCTGACTTACACACATATTTACTTTTTTTTAAACATAAATTCACCTTTAAAGTTTGTATATATTATCCAATTCATCCATTTTCTTAATTATTCTTTAAAACATTTTCGATTCACCGTGGAAAACAAAATTCCATGAAAAATACAAATTTATTACAAGATCTGGTTACAAAAGGCTGACGAAGAAAACAGATGTATCCTTAAATTAATGATATGTAAATTCGTTGACATACCACCAACCTGAGTCATACGGTGACGTCATCATTCTTTTGCCAGTGATGTCACCAAAGCATCACCAAAACTGCACCATCAAAGTATCACTGTAACTGCACCATTAAACCGTGGTAATATCATCATGACATTACAAGCACAGAATATTAACACTAAATAGGCATGGGTGTGAAATTAGGAGAGAGTGAAAGAGAGGGGAGAGGGATAGATAGACAGATGGATAGAGAGAGAGAGAGAGAGGGAAGGAAGATGAGATGGGCGACATGAAAGAGAAAGTACATATGTATGTATAAACTGTATATACTCGTTTCTATATGTATATATATAGATAGATGGATAGACATGTGCCCATATATATGTACGTGTGCATGTGTGTATATATGTATGCATGTATGTATTTGTTTGTCTATACATATGTGTGATATAACAAAAATTCCTTTGTAGGATATTTTGTAAAATGCAAATAATTAATAACAATTATCGACATACACTTCTTCGAGATTCATCAGCTTAAAAGCACACGCAGTCTGGCCTCGAGTGTCCCGTCGAGAAGCCATTAGTTATTCTGGAGAATTCGGTTCATCATTCTATGGCACAAATACTCCCATTATCTCCAGTAAATAATTTCGATTCTACTGTAAAAAAAAGAAAAAGAAAGAAAAGAAGAGAAAAAATGCAACTAATACCACTATTGTGTTTGGAATAGTATCATATCAATCCTAACTTTAGCGTGTGATAGGTACAGTCACGTGGCCTACGGATAGCTAGTTTTCCATCTACATTCTAAATTAATTAAATGGATGGTTCATATCGCCATACAGTTAATTAACAAGGAGAACCTCACGCAACCGTTGGCTGCTTTTTGGTGTGTGTGTGTGTGTGTGTGTGTGTGTGTGTGTGTGTGTGTGTGTGTGTGTGTGTGTGTGTGTGTGTGTGTGAGTGAGTGAGTGAGTGAGTGAGTGAGTGAGTGAGTGAGTGAGTGAGTGTGTGCGCATAGGTACGTGTGTACATATTAACAATAATATACTCAGAGATATTCAATGATACAAGTAACTAGAGTAAAAATGGATCGAGGGGAATGAAGAAAAAGGAAACAGAATAAACCCTCTCGTCAGCTAACAAGCGACCGAAAATGCAAAAGCTCGAAATGACAGACCATAATAGCTAATCCAAGGAAGTTGTCGCGCTGGGTGCAATGTTCTGGAATTCGAAAGTCGCCTAACAATATAACTGGCATTTGTCTAGGCTGCAGTGAGCAAAGCAAACAGCAGCAGCAGCAGCAGAAGCAGCCCGACGTGTGACTTCCGGCTTCTCTCCACTCCTCGTTCTCTTTCTCTTGTTTTTCTCTCTCTTTTCGTTTTCGTTCTCTTTTTTTCTTTTCTTTTCTTCTCCTTCTCCTCCTCCTTCACCATTTTTTCCCCTTTCTCTTTCTCCTTCACCATATTTTCCCTTTTTCTTTCTCCTTCACCATTTATGTTTCTTTCCCTCTTTCTCCGGCAGTTTCCCTTCCACCTCCACCTCCACCCCACCTCCACCCCCACCTCCACCTCCACCCACATCTCCACCCACATCACCTCCACCTCCATCTCCACCCCCACCTCCATCTCCTCCTCCACTTCCTCAGTCTCACCTTCACTTAGCGAAGGCGCTGGCCAGGTTAGCGAGGAAATTGCGACGGTTGTCGTCGATGTCGTAGTAGCAGATGGGCGCCAGGAGGAGCGGGCAGTCACTGAAGGCCTCCTGCTGGAACGACGTCCCCCGCACCCCGTGACGGACCTCCCGCCGGAAGTGCATCTTGCCGTGGTTCCTCACTGCTCGTCGAGGGTCCAGGGAATGAAATGATATTGTATTAGGTATATGAATATTTACCTATTTTTATAAACACAGACAGAGACACACACTCACACACACACATACGCTCAGACACACACACACATATATTTATGTATGTATATATGTGTGTGTGTAGATAGATAGATACCATAAACAACAAAGACAGTCAAAAGGAATGGCTGATCATATAAACAAAAAAGCTATGTTCGTCCACTCTCAGGCGATGATTTTCTATAGTTACATCTAAAAGAATGAAGGAATTCCCATTTCATTTGACCATTCACAAACTACCCTACTGTTATTATTGTTTTAGCTTATTACGCACGTGAAAGATACATAAACTCTTTTGCGTGTTGTCATATGCCAGTTATCCCGTCTGGCACTTCGCTCCCTGGAGTATTCCGATTCGCAAAATTTATTTATTTTTTTGTTCTAAACGGCTGACACTTAATATTTGTGTTTACAGATAGTTTGCTTGCCTTTTTTAAACTCATAAACATCAGCCTAAAGATATGATTGAAGTTTAATCCCTCCAATATTTCATTAGTTTTTCGCAATAGATACTTGCCGAATCGAAGTACTCAAGAGCCCCAGGTGAGTTGCCAGTTTCTCTTTTCCTGGGATTGGACTGACTGCAGTGACCTACCCGTTCCACTTCCTTTCATTGCCATGTTTACATTCTGTTGAGCACAGAAGATCCAGAAGATCTATACACTATGCTCGGATACTTGACAACTACCGCGCTCTTCAATATATAGCGCTTAATACATAAGGAGATTTATTTTTGTGTGTGAGCTCCAGGAGGATTTCCGTGTGAGCTTCAGGAGGATTTCCGTGTGAGCTTCAGGAGGATTTCCGTGAGAACTTCAAGAGGATTTCCATGTGAGCTCCAGGGGGATTTCCGTGTGAGCTTCAGGAGGATTTCTGTTTACGCACACACACACACATATATATATATATATATATAACGTGTGTGTGTGTGTGTGTGTGTGTGTGTGTGTGTGTGTGTGTGTGTGTGTGTGTGTGTGTGTGTGTGTGTGTGTGTGTGTGTGTGTGTATACATACATACATACATACATACATACACACACACACACACACACACACACACACACACACACACACACACACACACACACACACACACACACACACGCAAATATATACATATATATATATATATATATATATATATATATATATATATATATATATATATATATATATATATATATGTGTGTGTGTGTGTGTGTGTGTGTGTCTACATATATAAATAAATTTATATTACACTTTTTCCATGTTATAAACACACACGAACGAATGCACACGCACATAAAAAGTAATGATAATGCGCACACAGAACACAGACACAGCCAGTTACACGGAACCCCACAAGTGGTGCTCTGACGTCATAGCGGACACAGGTGAGGCGAGGTGAACCGAGTGTGCGTGCGGGGGGGGGGGGGGGTGAAGAGGGAGGGAGGAGGAGGGGGATGGAAAGATGGAAAGATGGAAAGATGGAAAGATGGAAAGATGGAAAGATGGAAAGATGGAAAGATGGAAAGATGGAAAGATGGAAAGATGGAAAGATGGAAAGATGGAAAGATGGAAAGATGGAAAGATGGAAAGATGGAAAGATGGAAAGATGGAAAGATGGAAAGATGGAAAGATGGAAAGATGGAAAGATGGAAAGATGGAAAGATGGAAAGATGGAAAGATGGAAAGATGGAAAGATGGAAAGATGGAAAGATGGAAAGATGGAAAGATGGAAAGATGGAAAGATGGAAAGATGGAAAGATGGAAAGATGGAAAGATGGAAAGATGGAAAGATGGAAAGATGGAAAGATGGAAAGATGGAAAGATGGAAAGATGGAAAGATGGAAAGATGGAAAGATGGAAAGATGGAAAGATGGAAAGATGGAAAGATGGAAAGATGGAAAGATGGAAAGATGGAAAGATGGAAAGATGGAAAGATGGAAAGATGGAAAGATGGAAAGATGGAAAGATGGAAAGATGGAAAGATGGAAAGATGGAAAGATGGAAAGATGGAAAGATGGAAAGATGGAAAGATGGAAAGATGGAAAGATGGAAAGATGGAAAGATGGAAAGATGGAAAGATGGAAAGATGGAAAGATGGAAAGATGGAAAGATGGAAAGATGGAAAGATGGAAAGATGGAAAGATGGAAAGATGGAAAGATGGAAAGATGGAAAGATGGAAAGATGGAAAGATGGAAAGATGGAAAGATGGAAAGATGGAAAGATGGAAAGATGGAAAGATGGAAAGATGGAAAGATGGAAAGATGGAAAGATGGAAAGATGGAAAGATGGAAAGATGGAAAGATGGAAAGATGGAAAGATGGAAAGATGGAAAGATGGAAAGATGGAAAGATGGAAAGATGGAAAGATGGAAAGATGGAAAGATGAAAGAGTGATAGATTAAAAAATGAACGGTTGTACACATATACTGGGAAAGATAGAATATGGATGGGTGTAGATATACAAATTATTCTAAGCAGATATATCATATATATTTATTTATCTATTCATGTATATATATACCATAGGATATGTTTTATATATAGTATGGTATAGATATATGTATATATATATATAATTATATATATATAACTATATATATACATATATATGTTTATATATATGTATGTATATATATCTGTATATATATATATATATATTAAGAGATGATATATATAATATGATAGATATCATACATATATATCATATCTATACATATATTCAATATATTAATTTTACAAATTTTATATATACATTATTACATATATGTACATATATGTACATATATAATATATATATATACCTTACCCTCTACCTTGCCCCTGTCCTCCCGCCCCTACCCGCTGCCCTTGTCCTCCCGCCAGTGGAAGGGGGCATTAGGCACAGACGCAGAAAGAAACGGCAGCCACCCACGCTTTCACAAACCCCCCCCCCTCCCTTCCCCTGCACCCACTCTCGCTCGTACTCCACGAACAAACAAACACAGAGCATGGCTGGGAACACATGCGTTTTCATCGACGCCAAACGAAATGCTTTTGATCTTCTTGTGTGATCCCTTCCTTACGGCTTGTTCTTATCACATGCATCTGTCTATATCTATCTATCTATCTATCTATCTATCTATCTGTCTATCTGTCTATCTCTCTCTCTCTCTCCTTCTCAATCTCTCTTTTCTTCTCAATCTCTCTCTCCTTCTCCTTTCCAAAACTCTCTCTCTCTCTCTCCCTTCTCTCTCTCTCTCTCTCTCTCCTCTCTCCTCAGCTCTTCTCTCTCTCTCTCTCTCTCTCTCTCATCCCTCTCTCTCTCTCCTGTCTCTCTCTCTCTCTGTCTCTCTCTCTCCTCCTTTCTCTCTCTCTCTCTCTTCTCTCACTCATCTCTCTCTCTCTCTCTCCCTCTCCTCTCTCAGCTCTCTCCTCTCGTCATCCTCTCTCTATCCCTTTCTCTCTCTC